TATGCCATGTCACACATACAGATTCAATCATAGCTCCCTACAGCGCGACGGCACGAACACCCAGTGGTCAACAAAATGCTGACTTGGCTGAACAACAACAGGGGCAAGCAGCAAGGAAGCCCCCTCATATATGATGCAGAGAAGGCAGTCGCAACGTGGTGGCAAAGCAGCATCAGAAGAAGACGACCGAAGAGTGTGTGACAGACAGAGACTGGCAGCAGTAAAAACATGATGATGAGAATGATGTACATATGAATTCAAAACAAACTGAACTGATGTTAAACTATGAGGCTGTCATGGTGTTTAAAATTGTGTTAAAAATAAAAGTTCGTAGCAGTTTTTTTTTTATGATGGTTTGCTTTTTTGCACAGCAGCTTGCAGTGATGCATTTATTGATCAAACAGAAATAAACAATGACTAACAGAATAATGAAAACTGTACAGCTGCAACAATTAATTGTCAGCTGTTAAATGAATCGCCAACTAATTTGATAATCCATTCATTGGTTCGAAAAATTGATTTTAGGGAAGAAAAATTCAAAAAACTTTGATTCAAGCTTTGTATGAGTGAATATTCACAGGTTGATTTATTCCTCTATGAGAGTAAACTGAATATCATTAGGTTGTGGGCAAAACAAGACATCTGAGGACAACAGCTTGGGCTCTGGGAAACACTGATCGGCATATTTCACTGTTTTCTAATATTTTATAGAAAACTTCAATTCAGTTTTTTACAAAGCCCAATATCACAAATCACATTTTGCCTCAGAGGGCTTTACAGCATACGATATCCCTCTGTCCTTGGACCTTCACAGCGGATAAGGGAAAAACTCCCCCAAAAAAACCTTTAATGGAGAAAAAACAGATTAATCGACAGTAAAAGTAATTGTTCGTTGCGGCCCTAGAAAACTGATTGTGGCCAAACAGCTATATTTGAGATTTTTTTGCTCAGATATAAGTGCAGGAAACAACCAGCAGAACTTCCCTGGTGGCCCAGAGTGAGTCAATGAAGTGATGCGAGTTAACTTGCATAGTTTATAATAAATAGTTTATAATAAAACTTTATTTATTATGTAGAATGGAGAAAAAAAGAAAATTCAATTTGGGACATTGGTTTTTAAGTCTGGGGCACTTAAAGAAAAATCGGGACACTGGAAAAAGGGTAATTTGGAGCCCTGGTTGCTTTATCTAAAACTACAAATTATGGAAACAAAAACACATTTATGTGATATTTTTATCCCAAGCAGAGACTTCCACACCTTCCAATTTTATAAGGAAACGTGTCTGTTAGTCACACACTTTTGCATAAAGCCTGCATTAAGAGCTCCATCCATTTGGGTACCCCTATTTTTAGACTTCTGAAGGAGTGCTTTTTTATCTTTCGTTTAAACATCAGATGACACTGGTCAAAATGTATTTTACAATGCAGGGAAAACTGTTTAATTAAATATTCTGGTATGAACGCAAGAGAATTAAATGTATTTACTTTAAAATCCGATAAACTGAGTCCAGTGTAGACACTCCTCAAAGCAGAGGGAGGGTGAAGAAACTGAGCCCGAGTGTGACGTACTATAAATCGCTGAGGAGTTGGGGAGTATGGGCCTCCGGTGAGAATTAGCCACTGATAAGGTAGATGAAGAGAAGTTTTTTTTAAGAGCTGCACATTCCTCTGTCGTACGGAGTCTTTCGCTCATAAGAATACACTATAACCTCTTAGAAAGTAGGATGACATAGCCCTGACCAAAGTAGACCGAGGGCAGACCAAAGACCTGACATGCACTCGTCCCTCACTCTGACTCATGCTTAGTCGCTCACCACCCACCAACACACAGTGAAACCTCAGTCCCAATGCCAGGTTTTGTCACTGGGCAGAGAAGCGGTTGGCTACAGTAAAAGCATGACGTGATGCCCCTTCCTCTATGCTCCCCCAGCCTGTGCAGCAACAGAGGGGTAAAAATATCCCACCAGTGAGTTCAGACAACCAGCTCATAAATTAACACTAAAACTCCTGCAGACAACAGCGGGCCAGTCGCTGAGAGATTTAAACCACTCAGGTTGCCACTGACCACAGCTCTGGGATCAGCTTACAAAACCCTTTTCCTAAATTTACCCATTAGGAGGTGGTGAATAAGAACGGGCTCTGGATCAGTTTACACCTAAGTCACTATTTCGTTGTACGCTAACATAGTGAACTATTTTTCAAAATGGCTCTAGGGTGCTTTGTTCCAGGAAATGTTATGAGGTGAGATGTAGCCTATTAGGCCTAAATTGGGAATTGTGTATAGCAAAAAAGGTCTGTTCTTAATTTTCCAAGCTTACTCAGAAAATATAAAGTACAGGTTTAGGCTCAGCTATTTGCTCATATCTTATTAAGGCTCGCCTGTAATGAAGCGCAATCTCTCAAGTAGAAACACAATGTTCCAGCAAACTGCTTGACTGGGTCAAAAAAAAGAGAAAGAAAAAAAGAAAAAACAACAGGAGAGAAGAGTGATGATCCCCTCTAAAGAAACTCAACTCTGTAATGGACGGACAGGGATTACAGACGTTAAAACCTCCTCCATCTGTAATTCACTGTCACCCTGCCATCATCTCTGAATCACTGATCCATTTTGCAAGTGTGCGAGACCTTGCTAAAAGCATCACTGTTGCACCCATTTGTGTTTGTAGTGGCGGGGGGGGGGGGGGGGGGGGGGGGGGGGGGCTAGGAAAAAAAGAAAAAAAAAGCATGCAGAAAAGACAAGTTAACAGCTCGCTGTGCTGTTTCAAAGCACTCTCTGTCCTGTAACAACCACCTAGCTAGTTTCTCACACAGGGAATGGGACACACTGATCAAATAGGATTTTAATGAACATCAGCAGTTGGAGCCTGAGGAGTAGACGCTATGATGGCTTAAAGCTACTGACATCTAGGTTGGGTTGGATTTTCATCATCAAACGAAACAAAAAAGAAGAAAAAAAAAAAGAGAAAACATTCCTTTGCTGGTGCCTCTCACACACACAGACAAAACAGACTGTGAATCCACACTGTCCATTCGATCACAAGGAAGAAGCAAATGAGAAAGCAATTGGCTGACAAGGCCAAGTGTAGACCATGATCATATCACACTAACCCTGCATTATCCTCAGAAAACGGAAAAGAAAAACAGGTTCTTCTCTGAAGGCTTTCCTCTAGGAGCCTCTCAGTGGGAGGGAGAGTAAATAAGATGTCATCAATAATAGACAGTGAATGTTCTGAGCAGTCCTGCACACACACACACATACACACACACAAACACACAAGCTCCGACTGATTCCTATCCTGCAGACAGGCCTGCCAACCGCCAGGCTTTTTGCACACGCTCAGATTCACTGTCCTGACTAATCGCTTGTGATAGGGGCCTTTGCCATAATTACCCAGGGCCTTATCACAAACTTATGCGATGCATTTTTCATGTCCTGGCTGCTGGCAGTGCCTTCACTGTCCGTGCTGGCAGTCAATCTACGAAAAAGACTGATCTCAGACAAATTCACACACACACACCAGTTCAGATGGGGCGAAATGGGTGAAAGCAGGGTGAAGGGCCAGGGGAGAGGGAGGGAAAAAAATTAAAAAGGAGGGGAGGGGGAGGTGAGGGAGAGGAAGATTGGAGGGGGGGTGGCAGGAAGGGGTGGCGGGGGGAGAGATAGATAGTGAGGAAAGAAAAGAGAAAGCAGTCTCAAATTTTTTACATAATGCATGAACAAGGGGGCACGAGTAGGAGGACCAAACAGGATCAAATAAATAGGAGAAGTGAAGCCTTGATGATGTGGCATAAGTGCAACACAAAGCCCGCTGGGAAGACTTGTTCACTGTCCTTTTGTCTACCCAGTCATAGGGGCATCATGACCTAAATAAAAGTTTAAATCCCAAGCCTGTGCCATGTACAAAATCATGTATGAACAATTGGGCTAGCCTACATAATGCAATCTTATGTTAATGACGACGGCGGCCGGGCTACTAATATTCATAAATTGTGATTTGAAATTCAGCAATGCACGTTAAATGCCACGGGAAAACACAACAGTGCCATTGTCTACATGTCTTGTGATAGGTCAAACACGCTCTAATATACACTGGCTATATTCACACACACTGAATAGGCCCAATATTTCCCTCATATCCTCCACTGTGCCGTGGATCTCCTCCGTGCACGCCGAGATTAGTAGCGTGCGCGAGGCTGGGACATTTCTGGAGTTCATCCTAATCAACAAGGTCATGATCTTTCATATTTCTACTATCATTTTTATTTAATTGCATCGCGTCAACAAACACTGTCCCGTCCCGTCCACTTCCACAGACGTGGCAATGTCTGTAAAAACCTCTCAGTGTATAATTGCCGTCAGGAGAAACCGAGAAGAGAAAAAAAACGGCCGAGTTGATCAACCATAATCACGGAGACGACTTCAATATAAACTGCTTCCAAAACCGTTAGCCGATAAGGTTGCTAATGTTTTCATCGCCCGCAACTAAACTTAGCAATTTGACAGTTAAAAGCAGGAAAAAGCACAAGCAAAGCGGTGTTGTGTGTCTGTGTTGCCCGTCTGAACGGTTGGTGTCACCACAGCGCCACCGTATAATGAGTCGCACTTATTTTTTCCCCCAAATTATCCAACCTTACAACGGCTAAAGCGTCGGGCTAACTACGGCTACTCGCTCCAGTAAAAGTTGAAGAACACGCAATAAAGATAGCTAACCGAAAGCTTTCCGCCAAAGCCCTGCCGTTTTGTTTTTATCTCGGCGCATCCCCGCGGCGTCGCCCCGGCTTGCCCAGTTGCAGTGTCCGATCGATGTTGAATTGAACAAAGAGGATCAATTTCTGATCAGCGAGAGAGCCACTTTCATCAATGTGAGGAAGAGGTCTTGAATTCTCTTCCGAAACACCTTCGAGACGACCGCCGAAAAAACACAAAACACAGCGGCCGAGAGAGACGAGACAGCCGAAGCGAATAGAGGCGAGACGATTTAAACAGAGGTTGAACTGACCTGTAGTTGTTGTAAGTCAAAGCGCTTCCAATATTGAAACATCGATCCTGCATTGGCCGCCATCTTGAGACATATTGAGACAGGAATGAGATGCTGATAGAGAGCGCGGGGGTTGGAGTTCAGTGGAGAGGACCGGGCGGCCGGAACACACGGACCGGATCACCTCCACCACCCACCCGGGTGCCAGCTGGAGCACGGAACGGAGTCACCTCGCTGGAGTGTTGCCTTAATAACGCCATTATAATTGCTTAAATAGCTTTTTATCAACATTTAGATATTACAGGTAAATAACCGAGCTGGCATTAAATTACTCTTTATTTTTACGACTTTGAAATGCACGAAACTGTGAGCGCCGGATGAGTCCATGTTTGATGTTGCAGTTGGTGTGATCATTAGCTTATGTTTTATGGAGAGCAAAGATCATACAAAAATAATGCCAGGAGGCTACTTGGAAGCCATATCTAAGAGGAGAGAAAATCCCACCAGGAGAGCATTGAGGAGCAATGTTTCCACTGAGCTGTGTCGAGCCGTGCAAGAAAAAAATAGACTAACATTTAATAATTTATTACATCAATAATCATTGATCTTTTTAAATCAGGTTTAGAAATAAAACGTCGATTGTTAAAAAAGTGATTTGTGTTTCCATGCACCAACTTGGATTATTTTTTTATGCTCCTTTTTAAAACTGCTAATCCACACATTTTGGTTTTTTTTTTTTTTTTGGTCACAGCTGCATATATTTAATAGAAAACAAAACTTTATTTCATTTATGAACACTACATTGTGTTTTGCAATATTATTTTTTAGTGATCCCACTGAAAGGCTTTTGTTTTGTCCCACTGTGGAAGTGCATAAAGGACATTTGCAACAAATAAAATGAAGTAAAATATATATTTAAACCAGATATAGTTAATCAGCACTGTTAGAAATAGAAACCAAACTCAAAGTGTCTGTTTAAATTGTTTTAAAAAATCAACTCTAACCAAAAATGCAAATTAACCACAATGACTTGAGTTTCATGCTGGATGTATTTTATGTTATTCTTTATGAACATGGTGGCTCTAGTGTACAAAGTCAGTATATGCAACAAAGCAGGGCTGCTGAGAACCTGCTGAACTTGGTCATTTAAGAATGGTAAAAGATGGAGTGGACTCACACTTGGCTCAAGTTACTCCTAGAATCATGATCTTTTTAATTTACTATAACATGGATGAGAAAGTGAGACTGATATCCTCCTTTAAGGCATCCCTTTGCTGCAGAGATATTAATCAGATTAGCTATTTAAATAAGATTGTTGTGTTGTTAATCCAGTCAAGTCATTGCCACAGCAGGGCAGCCCAGTGGTTAGAGTGTCAGTATGCATACATATCTGTTGTTGAAGTGACCTTGAGCAACACACTGAACCCTGGCTGCTCCCGAGGCGTCACTCCTGCTGACCATGTCCTCTGACCCCCTTCAGCTTGTGGATATGCAAAAAATTTCTAATTACACTGCATGTATGTATGGAGTGCCCTAAATTCCTGCGTCAAACTGTGCCAATTGTGGACGTTAAAACACATCACACCTAAGCTTCAGCCTGTAGTTGCTCTGCAAAGCAGAGCCAAGCTGCTCAGGTTTATCAGGGCAAGACATCTGCTCTGCACGTTGTTTTCATTTTTAGCATTTTGTGAGTTCCCCAAATGTGACTTGTCGAGTGTGTCGTGAGGCCTTGGCTGTTTGGAAAATAAACGCCTGCATTCACACTTTTTTTTCTCCCCCTTGAATGCTCCGAGGCCACGGCCTTTAAAAGAAATATTTTATAGCTTTATTTTTTTCTCTCCGATCATTTTCATGTCTTTACAGCCATTGCACTTTAATTGCATTCGCTAAAAATAACGCAAGAATTTGCCATAGATAATAATGCCTCTTTCACTGCACTTGTGTGGATACAAAGGTGGCCATTTTTGTGCTTTGAATTAGCTCAACTTTCAGGTCATTACTTGATTTGATTTGAAGCTGTTTGTGTCTCCCTCCTTCAACACCATGAATGGTGCTCAGTGCTCAACTAGCCTCAATGGCTTTGGCTTATTTTATACTACATTTATAGACATAATACAATGAATTAAAGGCTGTCAAAGTTTGCCCATGACACCCAGTCACACGCTTTTAATAAAATGTACTGAGTGACACTCAGGGTTCAACCACATATAACAAACAGGAACAGCTGCTAAGAGAATTACATGAAAAAAGACATAATAGCAGCATGATTCGTGTTACTGTCAGTGTCAATTACTTTTACTTTATCATGATTGTCTTTTTTTATATGAGCAACCAGTCTGCTATAAGAGATGTGTAATGATTACTTCTTAGACAAAATACTGCACATGAACCAAAGAATCCTGTGTGTAATCCTTTCATTTCTTCCCCTTTCCGCCATGTTAATCAGTGTTTCCTTGGCCTGGCCTGCATGACTTGTGATGCTACCTATCATTAAGCCAAACCAGAAATACAGGTCTGAGATAATCCCTACAGGCTTAGTAGCTTTGCAGTGTGTCCATTATGATGTGTTTGTATAGTTTTCTCCTCTTACTGTCACACAAAGACAACACACAACTAAAAGGAACACGATGTATATTCGATATGATTCAATTTATCTAACAGTAATAACATCTGATAACATCCAAGATGCATGATGTCAGTGCTGACGTTTTACTGTGGAAACTGAGTAACACAATGATTACATGTTTCAAATACTTTAAATAAATACTAACATCTTTGTTTATTAATTTTATAATTTATTGTGTGCTTGTTTAAGTGTCCTGCCCACAAGACACCAAAAACACTGTTGCAGCTGTGAAACATTTGTCAGATGTGTACATATAACACTACATTGCAAACAAAGAAAAAAAAAAACAGCGTGTTTTTTAATTATCATTCTTGCAAAAAAAGAAAACATCAGAAATAAAGGGCATATTGCTAAAAAAAAGTGCAGCCCTTAAATCATTGTACAATGATCAACAAAACATGAAATGGATTTCATTTTTGATCTCACCTAAAACCCAAATCAGAGCATGTTCTCCTCAGGGAGGCCATTAAACACGCCTGTTTCTATAGCTAATGGCACATACCTGAATTCTCTGGCTTTTAGTGAAATTCTGTTTCACTAGAGACTCTACCAATGAATTTCAGCAATGTTGGTGCATAGCAGAGGTGGGAACAGGTCACTGTTTTGCAAGTCACAAGTAAGTCGCAAGTCTTTGCACTCAAATCCCAGGTTAAGACTGACAAGTCTCAAGTCAAATCGCTAGTCCTATATTTTGAGTTTTGAGCCCTAAACAAGTCGTAATGTGCTTTTCAATAAATGTGACGCCATTTTAACAACATATTAATAACATATTACATTTACAAAAATCATAAGTGCTTTTAAAAATGTAAATGTATTTGTTAAAACAAGTTTTTTGGAAGTTGTGTCTTTGATTGTAATTTTCACATTTTGCATTCTGCATTTGCTTTTTGTTGACCTCTGCATATTTTTATTTGCGAATGAAATTATCTTTGGTAGCCTAAATTTTTCCAAATGGCGCTCGAAAGCATAACGCTGGTACTTCCTGGTTCTTTCCTGCAGCTTGGCTAGTCGGACTGGTTCAAACGAGTATCTGTATCTGGTTGAATTAAGTTTCAGCTTGCCAAGAATAGATTTAATGTTAGTTGATTCAGGAAGTTAAGGGAAATAAATTAATCTGTAAACACCTTTTTGAAAAACAGACTTTTTAATTTTTGGGCTGTGGGGGAAGGTATCAAGTATTTCCAAGTCATAAGGCTCAAGTCCAAGTGAAGTTACACATCATTTGGTGTGAAAGTCCAAGTCGAATTGCAAGTCTTCTTTGATTTGTCAAATTGAGTCAAGAGTCATTAAATTTGTGACTCCAGTCTGATTCAAGTCCAACTCATTTGACACTAGTCTACACCTCTGGTACACAGTCCCTCCATGTTGTGATGCAAAATTGCATCCAGCAAAGTAATATTCACATTTTGTAAATTTATCTTAATGCAGACTTTGTTTTGAACATTATAAATAAGTTGATTTTATACTGCGAGGCACTCTTCTCTAACTCTGAATTTCAGCACACAGCATCTCCATAAGGATTTGATTGAAGCTTCACTCAGCTCCGGATTACTTTGAAGCAGTAGGGGGTACACAGTGTAAGTCGGGACAAGCAAGATTCAGAGTTATCAATCCACCTACAAATTATCATGTTCCTGCTGCAGAGACTCATGCACGTCTGGCATGAATGACTTGAGAGGGCTTCTTTCCCTTTACTTGTCTTTTTATTACACTCTATGTTAAAATTAGAGAGGAGGGAAAAAACACAGCGTAAATTGTTCTTGACAAGGATAGCAGAAGGAACATGTTGGGGCCCACAGATTTAGCCTCTAAAAAGCCTCATCAGTTCATGTACATTTGGTTAAGTTTAAACATAGAGAAACAAACACACATTCTTTGTGTCAGTGCCATTATACAACTAGATCTTATACTCCGACAGAGCTACAGGGTAGAAAATAAAACAGCCCATTCTGTCCTTTAGCTTTCCCACTTTTCTCTGTTTGTGTCCCTTCTCCTCCTGCTCATTGACTCTGCCTGCAAGGTGCTTTTAGCGGGCCTTGTGTGGCCGGGTTAGAGATGGATGCGTGGCCCTTGGGAGCTGCAGGCAGAGAGCAACACTGATCATGTCAGACAGGCTGGGGAGGCTGCATAAGATCATCATCACCCAGCAGTGGAGTGAATCGCCGCAGTGGCACTTTCACACAACCTCTGACCTCTGGGGTAACCTCCGAGGTCATGATCAAGGTCAGGGGTCAGTGAGGGCCTCTGTGATCAGGGAGCTCGCAGGCCCCTCCTGCCGCTTCCTTCTCTTTTTCTCTCAACGTTCTTCGTTTTTTTTTTTTTTTTCCTGCTCTTTCCCTCATCTTCTATCAGCTTGTCTATCGCTCACACTCTCCTTCGCTGGCTGGGACCAATTGAGACATCCCATCCCCTGGGAGTGCAAAAAGGAAAGCAAGAGAAAATCAATAGGGAAGATGAGTGAAGACCTGGGGGTCCCATCAAAAACTGAATGCTTCTCCCTGTGCTGGTATGATTCACACGTACACAGAAACAC